ACTCACGTACATATTACAAATGCATATCGTCGTTTAACTGGAATTCAAAATGAACCAGCGGGATCCAAAAGCTAGCTTACATAATCTGTAAATATTTCAAATTGAAAAACTACTTACGTTTTCCGTTTCGGATTTACGTATGTCACTAATTAAAATTAGTATGTTATTAATTAAAATCTTTTTTTGCAAGGATGTCGGAATGAATAAGTATAATATAGCGGCTTATTTTTGGGTAAAGGTTTAACTAATTAACACTGTAATATTACTGATTTGACTTAGCGTAAATTATGGGGCATATAAAAAAGACTTTTATGGAGAAAGAATATTATATATAGCTGATTGGTTAATAGACAATAATACCTGGACATTTATAGTTTATATATGGTAGAGCCATGCTGCAGTTAATAAGCAGTATAGTTGTAGCACGAATGGGTCGGCTCGACCAGGGAAGGACCACGCTCTCACAGAATACCAGCGTAAAATAGTAGCCTAATGCTGCTGAGTTTCGTGTTGTGAGTGTAGGGGAGCGGAGACCCTTTTTACAGGAAACGAGGCATTAAATCTTAGTCCTCATAGATGACAACGTGTCCCAAAAACCAACAAATTGTGATCTTGTTCAAGTTTTTGCTCAATCTAAGATACGAATCTAAAATCAGTGACATAACAGTCAGTTCTAAATTAAAATAAATGGTAGTAAATTAGTTCCTTTTACTAACTTAATAAAAATTAGTACGAAATATTGCCAATAATTAAGGTGCTGATCTAAAAATCGCGTCTCACTAGTTTTCTGTAGTAATGTCACACGGAAAAACACGTCCAAACTATAGGTAACTCTCGTAAAACTTTCCTTATTATGGTGAATCGTTGTTATTAAATGAGAATAGCATGTATTTTTACTCTTCCTATATTTTTTACACACTTCCAAACATTCCTTCCAAACAATTTTTATCCAAACATTTTTTATCTTAATTTTGGTAAAAAGACATAATAATCCAGATATTCTGACCTTCTGTGTTCTTCCATCACAAAACTTTTTTGAAGTGGAATTTAAGTTTTATGTTCTCGGTTTTTCTAATTCTATAAAATACATTTTATGAACCCCTTCATAATTTTAAACGTGTAATTTTTGACTGTTGTTATAAACATTAAATTTTTTTGAAATATTAAGTATACTTACTAATTTTATAATCACTGCTCAGCGACCGAAATTTAGACCGAGTTAGCTTTTTCAGTTTGATTTTTTTTAAATAAATATTGATTAAAATAAAAAGACTTTCATTACGATATGGTTACTTGATAGGTAAAATAGAAATAATTTTATCATTGCAACATTATTGATTACCAACAAAGTACATATCTACACCTTTTATTCCATTATATTATATTATACAATAGCTTGCCAGGCAGACGTTATTCTGCCCTTTTCGACGACAATTTGTCATGTCCCATTAAAAATCCTTAAATTCGCAAAAAAAAAAAATTGTGGGCAAAAAACTATCTTATCTCTCAAGTTGGACCAAACTGCACACGGTGTGCAAATTTGATTAAAATCAGTTAAGTTGTTTAGGAATCAATCGCGAACAAACAACGTTACACGTAATTTATATACATTAAGATGTAATATACATTAAGATATAATGGTACACTGATTCATTCACTGCAAATGTAACGTTGTAATCCTATATACTTATATGGGATCACAAAGTTATTTATGCAGTTAGTGTATCTAGAAAACTGGAACGAAATTGAAAAATATTTTAGTTTTTCCTTGATTTATACACTAAACACTAATTGTGTTCTAAGTTTGAAGTTTCTATGTCTGCTAAAAATGCCTTAGTGTTTTGATGATCGGTCAGTCAGTGAGTGACAAAATTAAGAAACTTTGACTAATTATAATTCCTAAACTACTAGTTCAAATTGAATAACATTTGAAATATACCGTGTACAACGCCTGCTTGGTTTATGAAAATTCAGGTTTCTATTTCTATTTACAACAAAATTATAGGGGGGTTGAAAATGGCCTGAATTGCTTCGAGAAAAGTATGGTACGGCCGTGCCGCTATTTTGTTCGACTTGGCGGGGGCACTGCCGTGCGCCCCCAGATATTAAATACACCGTATTTACCATATTTTATTTACATTATTTTTCTCAGCTCGTTAGTGAACATTAAAACTTTCCAATTATAAATTAACACTAACCGTTTACACAAAACTGTCCGACTTTCAACTTTAACTTTATTGCTGCCCCAAAGCGTATTTAATATATCCTTAGTCCTCTCGTTTTTTGGCTCTAGAAAATCGAAAAATCATCCGATTTCGACAAAGACCTGTATAACCACTGGTTATATTCTGGTTATATTCTGTGGTTATACTCTCTTTGGATTTTGACGATTTTTTTAAAATCTGCGTTTTAACGGCTAATTTACGAAAAAAATACAGGAATTAAAAAAAATTATTACTTATATTGGTTTCAGGGCTTTTAATATTTATGAAAATGCACTTATTCACGTATAATTGTTGATAACTTTTGTAAGTGAGATAAAAAACGAACACAACAAAAACATTTTCCAATGTTTTTTGTTGTTCGTTTTTTAGTTAGATTAACACAAAAATACATAAACTTCGTTTAATGCTTTGCAAAAACATTATGAATGATTATATTATAAGAAGTGCGTTTATGATCACATTTAAAGTCATAAAACTATATGAAATGTTCAGGTGATATATTTTCCATATTTTTTTCCGTAAATTCGCTATAAAAAAAGAAGATTTAAAAAAATTTCGAAATCGGATGAATGTTTAATTTTCTAGAGTCAAAAAAACGAGGGGACCGCGAAAGTATATAATTACCGAAAATGTTAATATTACATTTGCAACATTTAAAAAAAAGTTTAAAAAGATTTATTGCATAGACAAAAGTATTTTTTAGGCCAAATGACTGTATGTTTGTTGCATGATTATATTTTTATTTAACGACTTTTTATTTAACACATAAAAATAAGTAATGAAGGTAACCACTAATACATAATGCGTGCTACCAAAATATACCCAAATCAGCAGGGTCTGGCTGAAAACCAGTGCTGAGCATAGTGCCCAGCGAATACTAAGCCTGTTCCCGTTGCCTCACTTGCCTCACTTTAAGCTTGTATATTTAGTAATAGTAGTTAATTTGTTAATTGTAAATGTTCATTTTTTAAGTCTATACTTATGTTATGTGTATACTTACTTGTTTTCATTTGTAAACCTATTATTGTGTGGCAATAAATATTATTATTATTATTAATTATTTGTTGTCAGCGACTTTCGTTGTTATAAACAGATATAGGTAGAAAAAAAGATCGATAAGTGTTATGGACAAGGACCTCGTCCACCCTATTGAATTTTATTATATATCAAAAATAGGTATTTTATATAAACTTTTTTATAAGTCAGTGCTTGACCACAATCCTACCTGGTGATAAGTGTTGATGTAGCCTTAGATGGTAAATCTCACTGTCTTAACGTAACAAGAGCTTATCTACTCTTGCCTTGAAGACGCCCAATTTAAAGCCAAACATTTAGTAACTACATTTAATGAGATATGCGATAGATTTTTAAGAGCCTATTAAACATATCAAAATAAATCTGTAAGTCCCTTTACTTGTAGAATGTTAGTTACCACACTTCACTTCTGGTAACGAATTTATCATTCTTTTTATTTTACTACTTTTTATTTTATTACTAACATGACCATACACACTCTTTTTCACGTTTAAAACTTTAAAATGCTTTTAGACGTTTTTAGCAAAAGAACGGCCATTTGCAAATTATGGCAAATTTAGTTCCCGGTATACTTAAATGACAGCGCATCGAATCGCCACGAAGGTTTTGTAGGGTTATAGCATGTCTAGACTACTAGTGTAAGTGGAGGTCAGTGGCTTAAATGAATGAAGAAATGATCTGGAGGCACGGCAGTACCCCCGCCAAGTCGAGCAAAAAAGCGGCACGGCCGTACCATTCTTTTCTCGAAGCAATTCAGGCCATTTTCTAACCCCTATGTATCATAGGTACACATTGCGGATTTGAAGCTGAAATATTTACAGAATAAAGTAACTCTGGTAATTTTCAAATTACATTTCACTATAAGAAGCTATTTTTATGTTTTCTTTTGGCTTATTTACAGCCAATACAGGAATATCTATGAACGAAACTGTGTAACGGCGACGTAAGAGAGTTTACAGACTTCTTGTTAGGAGTAGGAGTTCGATTGAATATTAACGTATAGCCCTTTATTATATTAAATATATGGGGATGCATTGTTACGTTTAATCAATTGTGTAAAAAGTAGTGAATACGACCAGCGTGTGGTACCTTTAGCGACGACTGTGATAGTTCTGCAGCCGGTTGGTCAACGGTGGGCGTCGTGCCGCTGTCGTTTGCCTGCGGGCGGCGGGCTCCTGTGTGGACGGTAGAACAGAGCCTGCGCGCGGGCTGCACGCGCCGCTCCCTGCACACCTGTGACCATGGATTTTCTAGGAGCAGACAATTGTGATTTTTTGATATGCAAGCTAGATTTTTCTATTGACTTGGTTAGTTTTGATACTTTCGCTTAAATTGCCACCGAAGAGAAATTTTTATTGCCTTGAATTACATTAATAAAGCTTTAGTCTAGCATTGGGATAATTAATCGTCTACGATTCATTGTTTCCTCGTGGTGAAGGTCTAGTAGCATTTGATTTATTTCGGATATTTGTTTAATTATTTCGTATTTGCTCATTTCTTTACTTATTAACTCTAACGTTAGATGTGCTAAACCTGCAATGAGACAAACTAGTTGATTTTCCATCTTTTCTAAACGCCTGTCACGATTTTTGGTCGATTTATTCATTATTGACACAACCTCGATGTTCAATATTGGCGCTTCAGCAAGTTGAAAATGTTCGGGGATGGGGGGTGTTTAGTATAAGCAAGTTTTCCTTCTGTTCTTTCGTCAACCCTTCTATTAGGATTTTACCCCAACGTTCAGAGACTTCTGTAGGGATCTGCTGCCCAAAACTTTCTTCGGACCTTTTTGCTTCCACGAGAACTGCCAAGATTTCTGGGGGCGGGGAGTATACTTTCCTCGTCTTGTGATGATGAATGAACATGGACTCCTGAAGACTTTTCGGTAATAATAGTTTCAGCTTCAAGCAACAGGGGTGCCAGCGTGGACATTTCAATGACTGACTTTGGCCTGCGATGCTTAGCTGTGGCTTCTTCCTCACTGACATTACCAATGCCACCGCCGTAATCGTACGCGTCGGCCTCCATTTCTTCATACTCGTCGCAAGAGCTATATTAAAGATCTAATAGAACAAGGTTAAATCGTCTTAATATTTACTTTCTGGATAACACGTGTCACCACATTAAGAAACTAAGTTTTAAATTTCCGGGTGACATCACGTGCCATCACTGATAAAATATTGGTATAAATACTTCAAACAATAACAATAGAACCATCCTGATTATTAGCTCCTTACTTTCTGGGTAACATCAGGTGTCACCACGTTAAGAAAGTAAGTTTTATATTTCCGGGTGACATCACGTGCCAACACTGAGGAAATATTGGTATAAATACTTCAGACAATAACAACAGAACCACCATGATTATTAACTCCTCACTTTCTCGGTAACATCCCGTGTCACCACATTAAGAAAATAAGTAAACTATTTCCGGGTGACATCACGTGCCATCACTGATGAAATATTGGTATTAATACTTCAGACAATAACAAAAAAAAAACACCCCGATTATTAACTCCTCACTTTCTAGGTAACACATTCACATGTCACCACATTAAGAAAGTAAGTATATATTTCCGGATGACATCACGTGCCACCACTGAGAAAATAAAATAACTTGAAATTAAATAATTAATATGTGGGTGCTTAAATTAAAATCACCCATTAACATTATTTATGTACAATGTTCTTGGTAAACTGTACTTATAAAAATATTATCTTTATATCACTTGTTACAGCAACTATAAATTAGGAAAATAAAGTTAATTATCATTTAAAAGGTTTCAAAACTAACCTTTATTACGGAAATCCTCGGGTGGTTTTCGTTGAGACGTTAACTCGTTTTCCAAACGTGATATTTTGTTTCTAATTTCATTATCAATCTTCTCACTTATTCTTTTTTCCCATTTTAACATAAATTTAAATTTAAAAAAAAATCACTTCTTGCGGGGCACACGATAGTGGTCCACTTGATAGTGGCTTACAAAAGTCAATGGACAATCTTTTTATTATTTATTTTTTAATTTTTTGTGAAAAATATTATCTAAAATTTTTGTGATGATGCAGTACCACAGAAAGCGGACTACATAGTTATTAAATCTAGGATGCAGCAACGACGTATAATTCAAATCAAATCAATCTCAAATGAATGAATTAATGAATACGTGTTTCTTTTTTTTAATAACGTTACGTCTCTCCCATAGATTGTTTCATAGGGGGGATAATTGCCATAGTTGCCAAGCTTGGCAGGCGGGTTGGCCCCTGGATTTTAGTTGTTATTAGAAAGACACTTCTGTCAAGCTCCTGTTTTGCCGTTTAAATGTTCACAATGCCTTACAAAATATGATGCAATTAGCGAAGAGGTTTTACGAACTTGTTTCTTAACAGTATCAATTATTTCATAGACTTAGAAAAGACAGGTAATTTAAAAAAAAAACATGGAACACTAAAAACGTAACTAACAATTCCATTAAAGTAAGCTTATTATCCGAGGTCCGAAGAGAGGGGGAGGATACGGCAATCCTCGAGTCCGGCAACTTGTTCTACCACCGGGAGGGCGACCATCTGTCCCAAGGAGGTGTCGGATTTATCGTCCACAAGTCTCTCGTCAACAACGTTGTAAAGATTGGGAGTGTGTCGACGAGGGTCGCGTACCTGATACTCAGAATCACCGAACGGTATTCGCTGAAGGTCATACAGGTTTACGCACCAACCTCGGCACATCCCGATGAGGAGGTGGAGGAAATGTATGAGGATATTTCCAGAGCCATGCATTCCTCCAAAACCCACTACACGGTGTTGATGGGAGACTTCAACGCAAAACTGGGCACAAGAGAAAGCGGTGAGCTGAAGGTGGGGAAATTTGGAGTAGGGCAATGGAACCGAAGGGGCCAGCAGCTGGCCGACTTTATGGAGAAAGAGGGACTCTTTATGATGAACTCTTTCTTCCAGAAGCGGCCTCACAGGAAGTGGACCTGGTCGAGCCCCGACGGTTCGACAAAAAATGAGATTGACTTCATTATGACGACCAGACGCCAACTGTTCAGTGATGTCTCAGTGATCGCAAGGGTGAAAACTGGCAGCGATCACCGAATGGTTAGAGGCACACTGAACCTAAACGTTAAGTTGGAGAGGTCTCGTCTAATGAAGTCAACGCTCCGTTCCCCTTGTGCTATAATCCAGAATCCCGAAACCTTTCAGCTCGAGTTACAAAATCGCTTTCAGTGCCTAGAGGATTGCAATGCAGTGGACGATATGAATGACAAGCTCGTGGAAACTGTCCATGCGGTCGGAGCTAAGTTCTGCAAGACCCGCCGCAGAAGAACACAAAAACTCTCCGATCACACTCTTAATCTCATGGCTGTTAGACGGGAGATGAGGCTGCAATCGTCAACAGATTTTTTTTATAGAATAGGCTGACAAACGAGCACACAATCCACCTGATGGTAAGTGGTTGCTGCGGCCCATAGACATCTACATCTATCTTCCATTACAAATCAAAATGCAGATGCGTTGTCACCCGTGAGGACTGAGATGGAATGCCTCTTTTTAAGTAAAAAGGGTCTCCGGTTCTCTACACTCACCATACGAAATACAGCACCATTAAGCTACTATTTCACGCTGGTATTCTGTGAGAGCGTGGTCCTTCCCCGGTCGAGCCGACCCATTCGTGCTACAACTATACTACTAATATAACTGCAGCATGGCTTTACCACGTAGAAAATTTGACAGCATACAGGCAACTGAACAGACAGATCTCCAAATGCATGCGGCGAGACTTACGCAACTTTAATACTGCTCGTATTAAGGGGGCCTATGTTCAGCAGTGGACTTGTGAAGGGCTTTAATGATGATGATGATGAGGATTAACTATAATTTGTATTAACATCCACACTGTTGGTAGCTATACTATAACCAGAAGACGGTCAGTCAGTACTAATATAATACAATCAATTTATTCATTCATTCAGCTCACCAAAACTTCACTGCTGAACATAAACCTCTTCCATACACAATCGTTTCATATTGGACATAGTTACAGGTAGATCAGGAAGATACTGCTGCCCACATCTAGTTCTAATGTCAAGCCGTCCCCTTTACGACTCCTACAGGATAATGTGAGATAGAGGATTCTCTTGCACTGCCACTACACGGCTCTAATATAAGTAGTATTTTTTATTTAAACAAAATGAGTGACTGATGGAAATATTAGCAATAAAAATAATAGCTAAAAGATCTTCGATACTAAATAATCATAGTAATTAATTTCTTTTTAAAATTATTCGTAATAACTGCAGCGACTCTCCTCTCATTTCTGAGAGAATTTTTGTTACAGCGAATTCCCGATGCGCTGCTGTAGTACGTTTTGGCGAATTTAAAAAGTTTTTAATTTTCTTTAATTTGCTGGACACACTGGTTTTTTAAAAACGTTTTCCTTTACTGCTTAGAACATTGTAATATCTTTCTGTATGCTATCACGTACGAGTTCGATCCTCTCCAGAACTATTGAAATTCTACTCGTAAGAATAAGTAGAAAATAATAGAAACGATTTATTTATACGTCTATTATACTGTTACGAGCTTGAGGTTCGTGACAATAAAAATTGCCGATAAAATTACCTAAATTAACACTTTAATTTACTTTACACAAATTAAAACTTAAAACACTAATAATTAAACACACTAATTCACTTTATTCCGCTCCGAAGCTTCGCTTGTCTCGCCAAATCAACACTGCCCCGATCGCATCTTGCAGCACCTATATATACAAATTAGCAATGAAGCATCCGGAATATTCAAGTAAATGCGCGCAAAACGGCGAGTGTTCGAGTGCAGATTTTCTAGAAACTTAGTTCTTCAGATGGCGCTGTCGGTTGAAAGATTTGTGATGTCATTTTCTGCAAAGCTCCCCCTCGCTCTCGTTCCTGACACTAGATGGCGCTAGTCTATGACGTTGACTTATTCACGCAACACTGCCCCCTCCTAAGACATGCTCGTCCCGAGCATTATCGGTCCCATAATAACGCGCCAAGCGATCCACATGGACGATCTTAGGAGTCCCTCTTGCGCCTTTCTGTATCCAGTAGGTCACATCGTTGATCCTGGTTACAATCTGGTACGGGCCGTCCCATTTAGCTTGAAGCTTAGGAGATTTCCCTTTGCTGCGGACTGGATTGTGCAACCACACTAATGAACCTTCGTTGAACTCTTTATTGTTCATTTTGCGGTCGTACCGGGTTTTCATTTTCTCAGACATTTGCTGGCCCGATTGTCTGACGTGCTCATAAATGTCATTCATTTTGTTCCGCAAGTCATTTGCATAATCGGTTATACTGTGTGGGGCATCAGGTGGTATCCCGGTGATCAGGTCTGCCGGCAGCCGTAATTCTCTTCCAAAGTTTGCGAAAGCTGGTGTCACTGCTGTACTTTCGTGAACAGAACTTCGATATGACAACAAAAACGGTTGTATGTGCTTGTCCCAATCTGGTTGCGGATTGTCTACAACTTTTGCTAGGTACCTCTCCAATGTCTGATTAAATCGTTCCACCATTCCATCAGTTGCGGGTGATAAGAAGTCGTTCTTGTGTTATGAGTACCCATAACTCGGCAAGTTTCCTGGAATATTTGAGACTCAAAATTCCTTCCTTGATCGCTGTGATGTCATTTTCTGCAAAGCTCCCCTCGCTCTCGTTCCTGACACTAGATGGCGCTAGTGTATGACGTTGACTTATTCACGCAACACTGCCCCCTCCTAAGACATGCTCGTCCCGAACATTATCGATCCCACTTCTGACACCAATTGTTACGAGCTTGAGGTTCGTGACAATAAAAATTGCCGATAAAATTACCTAAATTAACACTTTAATTTACTTTACACAAATTAAAACTTAAAACACTAATAAATAAACACACTAATTCACTTTATTCCGCTCCGAAGCTTCGCTTGTCTCGCCAAATCAACACTGCCCCGATCGCATCTTGCAGCGCCTATATATACAAATTAGCAATGAAGCATCCGGAATATTCAA